TTAAAAAGACCATAAATTGATAAAATTAGATTAGAAGAAATAAATAATTAATATAATTGATATTAAGATTAAATTAAAAAAAGATTAGACTAAAAAATACCTATAATATGTTAGATTGATATCTAGGCATCGACCATTTATGAGGCGGGATCGAAATCAAACCTCTAACCACTAAATGACTACCTATGGCAAAATACGAAGACATCCTAAGATCAAAAATTATGATTGGAGAGCTAGCTTCGAGCTTCTTCTAGAAACTTTAAGATTGGATAGGATTTCTATGATATTTGAAGATCTACTAATCAAATCAAAGTAAAATTTGGCATAGTGTTAGAAGACTTAAAGACCAACTTATATATCAATTTTGAGTTGAAGTTAATAATTAGAGAAAGAAAAATCACTGTTGGAACATTTGCATCAACTTTCAAGTTGCCAAAGAAGTAATATCAGTGTAATTTTCAAGGATTTTTTTACAATCTGTAAGTTGGATTGGAGTGAATTCTTTTTAAAGATATATAAGATTTATAGTAATATTTGTATGCAAAATTTTGCTTCAATTGGATGATTATATTAGGAGCTAAAACTCACTAAAGCTTACTCATTAGGATTAAGGCTTACAAAGAAAATTCAAAATTTGTCTAATTATGAAAGTAATAAGGCAATTGGAATTTATGTATGATTGAGATTACTAAGAAGAATATTATTGAGCACTTTATATTGGATTAAAGTACTTTTGAGTTAAAATTCAAATTACATTCTTCTTATAAGGATGAAACATATTAGAGTTCTTAGATACTTATAAAATATAATATCACCTTCCATAGTCAGATGCCCAATGCATTTTTAAATAAGACAATACATAATACATAATAAGTGGTGAATCCAACATAAAAATTTGGGGTAAAAGATATTAGATTGTATTTGTGATTATTTAGAATTGATCACACAACAAGACAAGAAGGCTAAATTTGGAGTTTTAGATGGAGCTTTGGATGGAACTTCAAGTAGATTTTTTATTAATGAATAAGGTATATACTTTGATCCAAACACTATAAAAATATTTCAAGCATTTATATTATTTATGCAATAGCAACAAGTTAATGATTGTAAAGAGGTTTTGGCAACCAAAGAATTGCAAGAGGTAATTAATAAGTTTGACCAAATTGATGGGAGTTATATTTTCAATACTTAAGATGTTATGTGTAGGAAATAAAATTGAATTGTGTTTCTAAAAAAAAATGATTCAATTACTTGAACTTGCTAGGATACAAGAAATAAGAAAATATATAAGATCTATTATAAAGCAATTTAGAAGTTCATAGGTGGTATTTCTACATGCATTGAAGGATGAGTATTTTTTAGAGGATATTGATCAAATCACAAAAAAATCATTCTTAGAATGGATTGAACAATATAACAAGAATTGACAAGCTATAAAATTATTAAAAGAATTTGAAAGGTAATTTTTTTAATCATCAAAAATAAAAAAATTAATATTAGGATCAAACAATTCAACTTTCTTTGAATTGTTGATAGAGAATTACAAGAGAAGTTAGAAGTTCTTTTTAAAAGAAAAGAAGAGGATGAAGGATTGACAACAAAGTAGACAGCTATTAAAGATTCTACTAAATTGCTTGCCAAAAGAGAAAAAAAAAAAGGATAGAGTTGGTACTCAAAGAGTGGTATAGATACCAAAGATTTCAATGCCTACTACATGTTTGAGTGTGCCTATTCTCCAACCTATACTAGCTACAAATATATATATATAGAGATATATATATATATATAGGACTTGAGGAAATTATATGTCGGATGTAGGATCTTCAAATTAAACTTGTAAGGCTTGACGAGAAGACTTTTATAATAAGTTCAAAGGCTACTTTTAAATAAAGATGTATATAAAGATGTATTTGGAATGATGATGATTTTTATTCTTAAAAAGATTGTGGTGAATTCAATGAGATAGTATAATAAAGAATTATTTATTGAAAAGATGGAAAAGTTACATTAAAAGATATTGATGATCTTTCTCTAAATCAAATTTGGTAAAGAAGATATGAAAGCATTGTTTAAGGATTATTTAACAACACATGGAGTTTCAGTAATGGAAGCTACAACTTATGGAACTAGGGTGGGTAATGATGGTAAAAACAATTTATTAAAAATTTTCAATTAAGTGGACTTTGGTCTTCTGCTATTTCTATAATGTAAAAAAAAAAAAAAAAAAAAAAAAAAAAAAAATGTCATTGAAAGCTTTATTGAAAAATGCTGCAATAATTTGTGGTACTACATGCTAGAAGGATCTTGTAGAAGCTTTGTCAATATATACATATATTACTAAATGCTAACATAAATCTTTAATAAAAAAAAAAAAAAAAAAAAAAAAAAAATTGATGATACAAGCAAAGAAAATTCTTCCAAGAAGCAAACTTGAGGAGATAAGACTTGTAAAGTAGCTTCACAAGAATTTCCCACAGAGGATACTTCAACAATATTAGAAGGAAAAATGAAGGAGACAAAAAATAAATATAAATTGATAACTTATAAATTACTCTCTGATATTGAAGTGGCAATAGATTTAAAGAGAGTGCTTGAGGAACTTGTGCTCAATACTAAGGTCAAGTTCACATTAAAGGAGATTTTGGAAATTGCTAAGAAAGAATTCTATGATGTTATTATTGATAATATTAAATATAAGAGGTAATTAATAGAAGAAGTTGGATTAAGTCATGCTATTGATGTATGCATATATGAAGATGAAAAAGATGAATTTGATAATTATTACAAATAATCATCAAGTGAAGGAAGGAGTCATAATTAAAGAATTCATTTTGATAATTAAAGTAATAAGCATAAAGAAGTTTCAAGTCATTATACTTGGAAGCATTAGGCTAGAGCAACTACAGAGGCATTAATGAAGATTGAAGATATGGATGAATGAGTTGTTGCTTTGATTGACTATGATTTGGAGATATATCTTATATCTAAGAATCTTTACATAAAACAAAGGTCGCCAATTAATATGGAGCATAGATGGATAATATGGGTAGCTAATAATAGACAAGGTAGGTTATATGATGCTTACCTAGATGTAAAAATTCGAATTGATAATATTACAATAGAGAAAAATTTCTTTATTTAAGATACAACATCTTATCATCTTATTTTGGAGAAACCATATATTATTGCAACTTAGATGGAAAAAAAAGTACTTGATGATGGTTTAGCTTAAATACAAATTTGTAGTGAAGATAAAAGGAGGACAATAGAATTTTTGATTATATCTCCAAATCATAAGCGGAATCGAGACAAATTGAGAAAAAATCCATTACCAAGGATTGTTGAAGAATTCAAGGATTTTTTGGAGTGTATTCCTATAATGTGTGACTTTAATTCTACCTCCATTTCCACCTTTATCAATGATGATGTATGTAAGAACCCAATTTTTAGTACAACAACAAGCAATTAATGAATCAACATTGGCTTGGATTCCTTCTAAGTCATTTATATCTTTAGCATGTATGACACATGTTTTTTACACAAGTACTAAAGAATTAACTACTATCATTGAAGCTATAGAAAGAAGTGATACTTAGAAGTGGAATAAAGCAATGGATTTAGAATACCAAAGCCTCATTGACAACAAGACTTAGATTTTGACATGATTACTAGTAAAAAAAAATCAAATTGGTTGCAAATAGACTTTCAAGATCAAATATAATATAAATAGATCAATTTAGCACTACAAGGCAAGATTCATTGCAAAAGGTTATGTGTACAAAGAAGGTATTGATTATAATGAGACTTTTGTTTTAGTAGCAAAAATAGCCTCAATTTGTATACTTCTTGCACTAGCTATAGAAGATTTGGAAGTTCATCAAATGGATTTCAAAAAAATATTCTTAAATAGAGATCTTCAAGAGGAGATATATATATATATATATATATATATATATAGATTAATTAGAAGGCCATATATCAGAGGGTGAAGATTAATTAGTGTGTAAATTCTCTAAAATTCTCTATGGGCTCAACTAATCTTTTAGAATATGGTATATGAAGATAGATGATTATTTTGCCTCACAAAGTTGGAAAAGAAGCCATGTCAATCCTAACATTTATGTGTTATAGACAACTGATGGATTATTCATCATTATTACACTTTATATGAATGACTTGATACTTGTATCTTATAACAAAGAACTTCTCTTAAAAACAAAGAAAAACTTAGTTAAGAGATTTAAGATAAAAGATTTCAAAAAAATCCACTATATTTTAAGAGTGCAAATTATGAGGAATCGAAAGATTTGTAAAATCTATTTCAATCAACAAAAATATATAGAAAAGGTCCTTGAAAGATTTAGCATAAAAGATCATAAATTTTTGGCTACATCTTTGAATTCTAACAGTAGATTGTCAAGAGATATGAATCCATAGATTTTTGAAGAGATTGAAGCAATGAAGGATATTCCATATCAAAATGAAATTGGTAGTTTAGTCTATGCAATGATAGGCAATTTGTAAGTCATACAATTGACTCACCAGTTGTTTTAATACAAAAAAGAGACTTATAGTACTTAAAGTCACTAATTAAGAAATTTATGTAGGAATTGGAAATAAATAGCAATTAATAGGATGTAGTGGCTAGAATAGGTCTTTTGCAAAAACAATTGAAAAAGAATTTTAAAAATAAGCTGATATAGATTTATGACATTTTTTTTATAGAAGTTTTAGTCCATTAAAAACTTAATTGGATTAGGAGCAAAATATGAACTTGAAGTGACTAATTTCAAAATAAATAAAAATAAATATAGGATAAAAGAAATAAGAGAGAGTGAGGAGAGAAAAGTAAAAAGAGAATGAAAAGTAGAAAAAGAAAGAAAATATCAAAAAAAAAAAAAAAAAAAAAAGGATTGGAAGGCGAGAGGCTGCCCCCGAATTTCGGCAGCCTCCTAACTATAGGGGTCCGGGCTGCCCTGGATCCACTCTCTTGTTCTATTTTTTCCCGTTTTCACGAGCTTTGGCGCTACGGAATGCTGCTTCTTGACCTCTTATTTTTGGTTTTTTGGGCGTTGCGAACGCTCCGACTGGGAGGGAAAATTCTTGCGCTACATGAAATTTAAAGATTGAATTGTTATGTCAAGAGGTTTGATGAGTCAGATTGTTGCAACAGCACTTGGAGCTGCCGACGGCATTGACTGGCTTTTTTGATTTTTTCTTTTGTTATATGATGCAAGGCGGTTGTGATTTCCTAGAGCTAAGATGAGCGGAAGCGGCTGAAGCTATGAACCTCGATTCTTTTCCTGTGGTGGGCTAGGTAACATCGATATTATATGCAAAGCTGCGGCATCATCAAGTTCCTCTTGTCGTTGTGTTGCAAGGGTTCTAATACAACACTTCTTTTGTATTTCTTCTTTTTCTAGTTTTTGTGTGGAGAACCAAGATTGCAGAGCAGATACACCCATGTATTCGTCAGCTGTCTGGAGGTGCTGTGGCCAAAGATTCTAGTACTGAGTAGAGCGGCGGATCTAGGCAGCTCAAAATTTTTGTCCTTATTCGCGTAAGAGGTGCAACATCACGTAATCGAGAGTCTGTTGAGCTGAGTCGATCTCAAGTGGCCAATTGCAACCAACCTTACTTTAATTGAGTTTGTTCCTCCGCCGCATCATGTTCAGTAGCATGCAGCAATCTGTCTACTTCTACAAGCACAAGATTGGAGGAATTAGAGTGTGCATCATTCATTGAAGGTTACTATGGCATAGGTTTTTTTTTTTCAGTCATCGCATCTTGTTGAGTCCCTCGTGATCTGCCGCGCCTTCATTGGATCTCTCTTCTACGAATACCGTGCAATGGATTTTCACAGACCCTCACTTATATGTCTATTGCCACCTCTCAACAGCGGTTCCAATTTAGGTTTCTGGTTCTGCCAATTAGACCTTGTTCTTTTTTTTTTCCCCTTTTACTAATCCTTGTAAATAAAGACTAGCTGCCATTGTTGACCTTCCGCGTACATAAGGAAGACTATGTTAAGGAGCAAGCTATTGTGAGATGAGAGCATCTAAAATAATAGTGAAGTCGAGGTTCCTATTATTTGTTTTGTTTCATTATTGTTCGAATTTTGCAACTATGGCGACTCATCTCGCACTGAGCGATCAGTTAGAGAAGGCAAATTATGGGTATTGATTCTTTTCGGCTCAATTCTGCCATGCCCTATTTAAAATCAACATGAAGAAGAAGAAAGAGAGGCAGTTATGAAGAAGAGGCACTAGGGACAAAGGTTGGCGAGCAGCAGGGAGCTATGACCGCGGTGAATTGATTCAGCTGGAATCGGAATCAAGACCATTTGCAATTTGAGGAGTGTGTCCCATGCAATTAGGAGGAAGAGCAAGCGTGCTTGCATTCCAGTACATTATGTTTGACACCTGCCATTGGATGGCAATTGCAATTAGAGACTTTGGAAGACTTACGTGATCACCTGGACCTCCAAAAAACAAAACTATTGGGGGTTAATTTTAGTTCACATACTTGGACTGATATTTCCTATCTAGTGGGAGTTGTTAGCCAATATATAGTAAATCTTGGCCCACAACATTGAATAGCAATGAAATGTATTTTGCAATATCTTCAAAGCACATCAAATCATGTACTATAATATGGTGGAAGTTCTTTGAGTTTACAGGTGGCACATTATTGTGATGCAGACTATGCATGAAATATTGATACACAATGTTGGACCATTGGTTATACATTCTTCTTGGTTGGTAGTGCAATTAGTTGGAATAGTAAGAAGCAACCAATAATTGCATTATCTACCACCAAAACAAAATATATGGTAGCTAGTCATGGTACAAAAGAGACAATTTGGCTTCAAAGGTTTTTTAAGACATTGGATTTTCACAAGATGGTCCTTTAACTATTTTTGGTGATAATCAAAGTTGCATTTTTCTTTCAAGGAATTGTACATTCTACATTTATACTAAGCTTATTGAAATTTAATATCACTTTCTTCATGAGAAGATTGAGAGTGGTGACATCAACTTAGTTTTTTGTGGGACTTAAGACATGGTTGTGGATGTTTCGACCAAAGATCTAGCTCATGAGAAACATTATAAACCCATGAAGATGATAGGCATTATTAAATTGAGTTAGTCTAGTATGTCATTAAGTGAGAGTATTGATAGGACATGATACTCATATTAGATATAATGTAGAATAGACAATTGACACTGCTTTATCAGTTGTCAAGTTGTACCTACCATTTATTGGTGGTAATACTATTTAGCCATTGTAGCCTATTAAGCCATCATGCAACCTAACAAGACGAATGTCCACATGTTAATTGGACATTGTTGATTAAGTTAGTTGTTTGTATGTTGACACTAGAAAGTCCATGGAATTAGATATTGGACTAGTAGTATAAGAACTCAAACTAGAAGCTCATTTTGGCAAGCGGTTTTAGTTATCTTCTCTTCACATATTTGTGCTTCTATTATAACAATATACTTCTTCATATTTTATCACACTTCAATTAAAAACTACTTTAAAGTTAAGTATAAATTAAAAATACTGTGTAAGTTTTTATTTAAAGTTATTTAAAAAGGAGTTTTAAGATATTTTTTTGTTGCTTTAAAACATATAAAGTTTGTGCAATAATTTTTATAATAACCAAAAAATAAAAATAAAAAATCGGATTGAATTACATATAATATAAATATTATATATAATTCACTCCACAAGTTGTTTAAAGAAATCATATTTATTTATTTAGGATTTTAATAATACTCAGATACATAACATGGAATTACAATTAAATTCTCAACAATTTTATCTGTAAATTTGTTAGGCCTATTTCTACTTTTTTATTCTTCAATTCATCATTTTTTAAAATAATTAATTATAAATTTTTATTTATGAAATTCAACTTTATTTTGCAAAAAAATAAAAAATAAAAAATAAAAAATTCCAAACTTAAAATACACATCAACAAGATGAAAAAGAAAAAAGATATATTACAAGTTTTATTTAGTAATATTATTAATATTTTTAGGATGTATTAAATTTAAATCTTAAATTAATGAAGAGAAAATCTAAGATTTATAAAGTTCTTGAATTCTTTGTCTTTAGTTTAATAATTTATTATTATTATTTTTTGATTTGTAGTTAAAATTTTAAAAAATATTCATTAAAAATATGGAAGAAATTGCATAGTATAGAGATGACCTCAACTTAATTGTTGTAATCAGTTATAATATTTATATTCAAAAATTTTTACTTATTTATTATTGTAATATTTATGAATTCGATATATCTTCATTCTTCAAAATGAACAAAATTTAATATTGATGTTTATATGTTAAGTGTTCTACCTTATGGGATAAATATAAATATATATATATGTGTGTGTGTGAGAGTGGGATAAATATAAATATATATATATGTGTGTGTGTGTGAGAGTGTGTACGTGAGCTTTGAAAACACATCCTTTAATGATACTTCTAGTGTATGAGAATATCCGAGGCATTTAGAAAATTGTTATTGCTGAAGTGAAGTCCATGTTATATTAAGACTAATCTTCAAGGTTGTTTCGAGGCTACAAGGGTGACAATAGCTCGAGGTGTTACAAGAGCAACTCTCTGTTTCCAACAACACATCCATATTTCGGCACATTGTAATTCATCGCATAACAACATCATGGCTGCTGCGGACGATTTTCCTCGTAGTGGATCTTGGGAACCTGGGAAGTACTGTGTGTGTGTGAAAAGAGCACGAGTAGTCACCACAGCTAAGCTTCGAAACCAACTAACCAAGGCCACAATAAGAGGCCCTTTTCACGCAGAGTTAGTTCCGCCTCCCTTTCAGCTGTCGAAGGTAATGCCAAAAAGCGCCGATTGAATGCTCTGCAGCGAGGAGGATTCATGTTGTAGGAATGGGACAGGGAGGGAGAAGCAAGCAAAAGGGAGAGAGGAAGCACAGATATAATAATAATAAAACATAGAAATAATAAGCATAAAAATAAAGCAAAAAAACACAAAAAACACGAGGCTGAGGATGATGAGGTCACCTCATTCATCTGTCGTATTATATGTTCATCTAGAAGAGGCGACGGATGAATCATCCATCCATCCATGGGAAGACGAAGAGCGAGCTCGCGCACCATCAGCAGGAAGAGAGAGAGAGAGAGAGCATCGTCGTCGTCGTCGTCGTCGTCGCCATAGCCAACAAGAAGCCCTTGCTTGCCCATTCGTCTGCTTCTCCTTGCTCGCTTCTACTACTGTGTGTCTCCATTACCATCCTCCCTCCCCCACCCCCAAACCCCACCCTTCCCGCACCATTTCCCTCCCTTTCTGCTCAATCTCTCGCTCCTGCCCTTTTCTCTCTTCTCCTCTTTTCCTTTTTCGGAGCCAGGATCGCTCTCATTTCTCTCAGCTGCCGGCCCTGTGCATACGTCCCTTCCTACAGCCGGTAAGTTTACGCACTTTCCTCTACTCATTTCCTCTCCTCTTAATTGTGCTTCTCCCCCTTGCGCCCCCTCCCTCACATTGGATGTTCTTAATAATATTCTCGTATTTGACCTAATATCGTGTCACGCGGGGTCTCTATGTTCTTCTACTGATGTGCATTGTAATTCTATTTTACTTGATCACCTCGATCATGGCGATGAAAAGATGTGCATCGGAAAATAGAGATTGAAGTTATTTGTGCGGATGCTGCTACTGCCGTTGCCGCAATCTCATTCTAACGCTGAGTCATTTAGATTTGTGGGTTGTAATCCATCCAAATCTCTTTCGGAACGTGGTGATTACAGCTGATTTTATACTTTTCTTTCTTTGACATGTGCTGAATTTTTAGATTAGGGTGACTTACGAAACTAGCACATTGGTGTCACGAAACTGACAGTGTAGTCTCGGAGAGGTGTTCGGATTGCTACTAATAGCTTCAAAATAGTTTCACTGACCCTCAAGGGATGTATCGTTGATTTTGTACCTCGATTGAAGAGCTCCAACAGCTGTGTTGCTAGGATATGTTAATTTATTCAATCTTGATTGTTTAATCGCAGAGTTAAATTTATTCCCGAGGGTTTTGCAGGAGCGATGTGGATTCAGATATGGTTCTCCAGAATCCAATTGTATTAGGGAGATGTGAGTTAGATGCCTGAAGGCAACTCCATCATGTACCTTCCGTTTCGGCATGATGCCAACGTTAAAGAGGTTAGCAGTCCATCAACGCGACCTTTTGTTTCCTTCAATTTTCACATTGAAATGTCCACCTGAAATGTCTACCATAAAGCCATTGATTCTTTGTTTTGCTGTAAATCTTCACTTCTCTTAAGATGAAGTCGCGCATGTCTTACTTGTAGGTTCTCAATTATCATCAATATGTTACACAAGAAACGTTGAGTGATCTCGGTGAAAGGGTTGGTCTTATAATGCAAGACTTAGCCTTCTTACGGTTGTGGCCACCAGTTCCATAATATTCTTTTAAGCCGGCATGCTTGTGTGATAGGCTATTCTTTTTCCTCACGTGCACGGTTACGTATATACTGGAATAGAGGAGAGAGATGAGAATAATCATAAATACAGGCTCAGAACAATGGATTTCGTAATTTTTACTTGCGCTAGGTCCGAGTTTATAATAACATTCGAGACATTCGTCATCTCACAACTTGTGATCTGCCAGTATTCGTTGCCTGGCACTCTCACGTTTTGTGTTCACTTATGCCACGGACTTATGCCTTGGCACATTTGGTTTTTACGTACTATTTTTGGATACTCATCGTGCGAGAGGTAGATGATTTCGTAGAACTGACTCATCGGGTTATGTACTGCAGTCCATGCTTAACGGTTCAGCTTCAACACTTCTCGATTCTGGCAGCTCAGCGAGACCGTTTGCCTCATCAGGTTACAGTGCGCAATCAGGGACTCCCTTTGCCCATCATGGAGGTAAAGCGCTCCCTCTAGAGGATAAGACTTTTGGCTGGGCTAAATGGAGTTGCTATATATGCAACCATTTATCTACCTTCAGTTACTAAGCTTATTGGATTTTGTTCGCAGGTAATCTTCAAGGATTGCATAACGCTCAAGCCAGTTACAACATGCAGTCGGTTCAAAATTCTGTATCCTCGCGTAATCAGGGACTGGGTGGGAATCCTTCAAGCGGAGGGCATCAATCTACAGGAAATTTACAGGGTGGTCGTTTTACATCAAACAATAAACCAGTGGATTTTTCTCAGGTAAGTTTTGATTAATCGCTATCAAAGCCATGCTTTTAATCGAATACGAAACGCATATTCTTCTGAGTTGGATTTTCTCATCTACTTTGGAATATGTTGCTTCTGTAATCCTTCAACTTTAGCGAATCTACCGGTTTTTCATGTCTTTCTCAAGTTTGCATGAAACATATGTTCTGATTTAGGAGTGCTTTGTAACTGTGATTGGCTCAGCAATCATCGCATGGCAGCCTTCATGGGCAATCAGCAATGACAAGTCGTGCAGGAATTATTGCAGCTGGTAATCATTCCTTCAGCAACAGCATGAATGGGATTGGAAGATTGGGATCAGGAGGGTCGTTAGGAAGCAATATCATTGGAAGCAGAGGTTCATTCTCTGGTTTAGGTGGTGGGACTTTGCAGATGGGTGCCTCAGGACCTCGCATTTCAAGTACAGTTGGGAGTATCGGTGGAGGAGGGAGCCTTTCTGGAGGGGGTGGACTCTCTAGATCTTTAAATGCCGCGGTTCAGCTGAATGCAGCTAGCCTTGGTGGAGCACGTGTGAATATGAGTTCCTTAAATAATAGTGGCGGAATTAGTGTGCAGGGGCTTGGGCGGCCTGTTAATTCAATGCTTCAACAAGGTGTAAATATGTCATCATCATACAATCCTTCTGGAGATCTACTTGCTATGATTAGTAGAGGTATGGCCTCTCATTCCCCGTGCGTATGATAATTTAATCTCTCCACGGTGATTGTGTGCAATGAATGTTGTGAGAATTTGGAAGCGTTAGTGTCAACCTTCGCGTTTTCATGTCAGACGTAGATAGTAGCATCTTTGCTTATTCACATTGTTTGTCCTGCAGCGTCTCCTCGAGCTGTATCTCTGTTAGGAAGCAATTTCTCCTCTTCTCCGGGCCTGAGCACTCAAGGGCAAGGACAGCTGACGAATGGGCAGCTTGGTAGTCATGGTCTTAGCAATGACAGTAGTGATGGTGTACCATTTGATATCAACGATTTTCCCCAGCTCACAGCTCGGCAGTCTGGCACTAGTGGGCTACAAGGTTCAGCAGGTATGGTCTTGACTGTTACACCTAAACGCTCTTACGTCGAGTCAGAACGGTATCAGAATAGCCACCGAATGGAATCTGCTGTGGGGCCCCAGGTTCAGGGAATCACATCAATTTATTTGTCATGAATGTAATACAAACTTTATCATAGTAATTAACCTTACGTGAACGAACTATGAACTCAAAACTCTTAATAGTATCATTTCCAAACTATAAAACTCAGGTAATTCATGAAGAGCCCAAGTTACCTTGACAGCATCATATCAGCCAAGCTTGTTGGAAATTCAGCCGGCTCAATTTGGAAGAGCGGAGCATGCTATTTCTGGCCTGAAAGCGTTGTGCCGATGGTAATGTGGCAGCTGCCTTAAAAAAGCAAGGGGTTGCTGTGAATGCCAATGTACAGCATAATCAAGGGTTTAGCATACAGAGTGAAGATTTCCCTGCGTTATCTGCCTGCAAAGGTGAGCCTGCTTTACTATGTAATATCTGAGGAATCATAATAGTCCTTTATTACCAATCTTAAAGCCGCCTTTATAACATCTGGCATGTTATAAGCTCAACTCATAAAAAACTATAATCACAAAAGGGGTTAAGTCCGTATCTGGGGTTCCACAGCAGTGCCGTGTATTATCCACGTCTAAGTCTTTGCGGCCCTCTCTGAGATTGACGTCAACGCGAGCAAGAATTGCAGATGGAGGAAATGACTCAACGACAGAGTTGCAACACCACAAGGAGCAGCATGAAGACTCTCTCGCTTCAGCCATGCAATCTCAGCATTTCACGGTACCAAGTTGAGACCAATTATGGGATTTCAGTATGTATATGCATGAAGTCTGTAGTGCTGCCAGTCTACTGAACCTTTACATATGAGGTTTTTGTGCGACCAGCTCGATGGTACTTTTCTGTATGTTTCGATTAGAATCTATTTGTAATCATCCTTGAAGTTTTTGGGACTCTACCAGATTTGAATGGGGACAATGGTTGGTGTTTTTAGCCTGATATCCTCGCAGTACTTTGGGATGTTCTTGGATTTATAGATTATTTCCATGTAAATGGCACATAAACGAGGTTCATTCGCTTCTATGCATAGCTTGAGTTCAGTCAGTCACGTGGCATTTAGTGCAGATGAATAGGTCTTCTGGGTTTTCGCTTGGAGGATCTTATGCTCCACATCGTCAACTGCAGCACCAGACAGGTGGTTTGGGCTCAGGTTCTGTGAGTGCTTCTGAGCTGCAGCACCTACAAGCTAGCATGACGGATTCATTTTCATCATCACATGTTCCCTCACCCTCTTACCAATCTCAGGCAAGTACACATGATAAGATGCATGTGCGACGATGTAACTCTCACTTTTTATTTTTAGTAGTCAAGGAGAATGGTGGATTTTCTTTTGCTACTTTGAAAGATCATGTTTCATCTTCCTACACATTCTGCATTGATATAACAAACTGTTGTTGTGAGGCATCGATGATAAATATGCTTAAATCAGATCCACCGACGTAGAGTGTCTGTAGAATTTTGGCCACTTAGCAGGTCATGTGTAGAGCTATTTCACGTAGTAGCAGTTATGGTGTAACCTGGGTATGGTTTGAACTTCAGTGCGGAGGAATGTCCGGTTCTAAATTTCATCTGTATTTACTTGTGAATCACTGAGTATAAGTGCCGCTTGCTGCGCTGAACTGATAGATTCCTGGAGCGAGTCAGATTGGAACTGGAGGGGGACATTTGCAAAGGTCAGGAAGTTTGGCAAGCTATGACCAGTTATTACAGCAATATCACCAGGCACAACTGAGAGCAGGAGGAGCTGGTATACAACAACAGCAGTTTGCTCAGTTGGCCAGGGAGTCTATTAAAGGATTTCAACAAGGGGGAATGGCAACACCTCAGGATCGTTTCGGATTGCTTGGGTTATTAAGTGTAATCAGGATGAGTGACCCAGACCTCACAACATTAGCCTTGGGGACGGATCTCACGACTTTAGGATTGAACTTGAATTCGCGAGAAAATTTGTACAAAACGTTTGCGTCTCCTTGGGCCGATGGACCTGTACGGGGTGAGCCTGAGTTCACCCTTCCTGATTGTTATGTCCAGCGAGCGCCACGATTACAGGTAAAGTGTTCCAGGACGTGTAACCGTGTAACTGAAGTGCATCAGAAGATAGCGATATTCTCAACACTTCAAGGCAGCTGAACTTGTCAAAGCAGAGATATTGTCGGTAATATGAATTATCGGCTTATCTTTGTTTTGGTGATTAGAGTGATAGAATCTAATATTCTGATTGCCTACGTCTGAATAACTTTATTTAAATTGGTAATTTGGTGGCTTCAGCCAGGGTATTTTTCCAAGTTTCCGCAAGAAACTTTGTTCTACATTTTCTACAGGTATGCTCTCTTCTCTTAAGATTTGCACAAGCTTGGTCCTTCCGTACCTTAGGTTTGGAATTTGAACAATTTGATCTATCGCACTGGAGCGTGGTTGCTAATGAACTCGATTCCTTGCGGTTTGTGTACCCAATTAACTCTTTTATTGACTAATGTTCAACAGCATGCCAAATGACGAAGCTCAGATGTATGCTGCTGATGAATTGTAAGCCATTTTCATTCTCCTTCTTGTTTGGAATCTTTAGTTTGTTTGCTTAGAATCAGTTTTTAGCGAATGCTTGTAATTCTTCCATATAATCCATTTATGCCACGACACGGGTAATTCATATTAAATTTTGCTTGGACAATTGATCAGGGTTTTGTACCTGAACTTGCATATGCTTTACATGGAGCTTCAATTTTGAGCTATTTTAAAATTCACATAGTACCATGTCCAAACATAATACCCTGACTTGCACTGGCCTAGTCTCCAGTTACACGAATTCTTAATTGTGAGATTGTAGTCTTCTTAGCTGTGTTCTATTTCCAGGTACAATAGGGGCTGGTTTTATCACAAAGATCACAAAATTTGGCTGACCCGCGTTCTCAACGAAATTCCTCCGGTTACAACTCAGACGTTTGAGCGGGGTGCGTATTACTTCTTCGATCACAACACCTGGGACACTGGAAGAAAGGTACTAACTGATGGACCTGCCACTTGGTAGATATGACTTGTGTGCGTTTAAAACGTTGTGCCGATTTGTTCAGTATAGTTTGGCTTCATCCCACTCCCGATATCTGGACACACCGTCTTTGCAAATGTATTGGAGCTTTAAATGAGTACGTTGAAAAGCATTTGATATGATCTAGCTTTAGATCTACTACCCAGATAATTGAAATGCTCTCAAGCGAGATTTTTGTCATATATATATATATATTTATATTCTGTATTGTGTAATTGGAGCGCAGGAGAATTTCGTGCTTCAGTACGAGCATATTGAGAAAAGACCACAACTGCCCTCACAAGTGAAATAGGATCTGTCCCTCTCTGAGGGTCCTGAACAGATCTATTGCATCAGCAAGCGTTCGGAAGCAAAGCTCATTTACCCAGTGTTAGACATTCCATATACTTTGAGAATTTACGAAGAAATAGAATTTCAGTGCTGGTGGCTAATAAATGCCACGTAATGTATTCCATCTGGTCTCTTGCCACCAATTTGGGGCTCAAATGAGATGCATTTATTTACATTTTACATGCTTACCCTGCAAGCTCTTGTGTGATTTTTTGTTCAACACATCTCCTCTCGGCTGCTGTAGTTCCTTTTTGTTCAACACACCTCTGAGAACTTTTAGTTTTAAAAAACTTTAGCTCATTAATGGCATGGAACTTTCCATCTCTTCAACATGTCGCCTGTATACTTATTTTGCAGCTTCTTGAAACTTACAGTTATCAATGTCTTAATGGTACGTTAGAGTGGTTGGCTTCAAGAGATTCACTTCAACAGGACAGTAATGCGTACTCTGGGCATCATTCTCAAGTTATTTGTTTGCTGATGCCCAAGTAATCACCTTTCTTGTTTGTGATTTTCACTTTGAATATTGTATGAATATTCCAGGACTGATCCACCCCCAAAAAAGGTAGAAGGGGGTTTTTATTTTTTTATTTTTTATTTTTTAAAAAATAAGAATTTGTCTAACTTTAAGGCCCCAAACAAGCCACGAAATTTTAAAATTTGTGTGTTTGTTGTGGCAGTGGTCATGAAAGTAACCTTAGGGTAGTTGATATGTGTGTGTTGCCTAAGGGCCAAAGGGTGGGAGGGATATGTGTCAAAACAACAAAAATGGGGAGCAAGCAGAGAGCATTAGGTCACTGGCATGTTGCAGCCAATGTTGGCTAATTCCAATTTGAAGGCCTTAGAAGTTTGGACAACAATCACTTGCCATGCAAAATCTTCCCAATACTTGGCTCTCTATTGATGAGTGTTATTTAGTAAAAGAAGGCTTCTGCCTAATGGCTCATTGTCTACTAGCTACTTGGGCAATGGGCCAAATATAGAACCTTGTGCCCTAGAATCTTAGCCTAGAGAAGAAATTTTGCTGGGTGGTATCCACTTGATTATTTGCAAAAGCCGTAATTTTTCTATGCAGTTAGTTAGTATCAGAGGAAAAAAATGTACGTACTGTTATTAAGCTCAACAATTAGTATCAATACGAAGTAATTCTTTTTTTTCTTCTTTATTTATATTTCACCAGATGTTTGAGGTCATTAATGGTAGGAGATTGGGAACTCGAAAGAACATAAAAAATTATGTATCCTGCACTGGTTTAGCAATATTTCAATAATATTTTAATGTACATGGAATTTTAATGCACAATCATGCATGTCTTCTTTGTACCCACAGAAAAATGATACATGAGAGCTGCACGCAATTTATTACAAAAAAGAAAAGAAAAGAAAAAGAAAACAGAAGCCTATTTAACTTCCATTAAAGTTGTACTTTGTACAAGTTTTATACAAAAGATTAAAGTGTGAAAAATAAGTTTGAGCAACATGAAAAAAATGGTGACTTTAATTTATTAACAGAAAAATTATGATAATGTTTAAGTTTGAGAACAATGTAAAGAATGAAGAGAACAGTGTTAAAATTAGAATGTGTTTATAATACATAATTGAGAAATTAAAAATACAATTCTTTTTGATAAAGAGTGTATATAAAAACGTGTATAAAAGTTAATCATAAGATGTTAAAAAATTCATTTTCTAATAATTTAACAAAAAAACACATCTTTTTTTTGTTATTGCAAGTAATACTTCCAAAATTTTAAAAATAACTTCATAACACAAATCCTGTAAATATCACAAACTAACCATACACATATCAAAAATTTAACCACGTATCTTATCCACTCTTATGTCTAATTGTGTCTAAGAAACATAATTTTTTCATTGATTAGCTGATTGATTGAAAATAAAGTAAGACTCATAATCTTATATATTCTTGTATAAGATCTTATAATTGTCTTATATAAAGAACTTACAAAAGAATGTTTAAAATAAGTAAATTTTAAATCATAAAATATAAATTAATTCATTCATTAATCACTAATATAGTTTAAACATCAAACTTCCAATAAATCATATGATATATTTTTTTCAATGTCTTTTACATATTAAATTTTATTAATTTATAATCATTAATTTTTTGAAAATAAATAATCTAATAATTTTTAAAATAGAGTTTTTGGTATTACACTTATTCGAGTTTATTTGTTGATTTTTTTTAAAAATAATATATTTTTATATTTTATATTTATAAAATAATTTAAATTAATATTTTAAATATATAATAATTAAATTATAAATTCATAGATATTTAAAGTTTAAATTTATATTTTTTAATTTAAAAATCTATATATATATATATATATATATATATATATTTATAATTTTAAATCTTAAAAAATAGATTTTTATAAAAATATTTTAAGTTTTTAAAACCATATATATATATATATATATATATATATTAATTAAAGCCACATCTTAATTTTGTTAAAGCTACATCCCTTGGCCATGTTATGATTAGTTTAGTCCAATGTCACTCCATCCCATATAAAATACTCATGACTAAATGAATTAGATCATTATTCTCTCCCTTCTCATTTTTTGTATTCCACCTCTTTTTATTTGAAGTTGATCAATATAGCTACCATGATGCCATTTTCATCATATATATCTAATAGGTCAAAGTTGGGCTTTAAACCAAGATTCTATTCTAATGCTTGAGGATATAAACTATCTTCTACTTGTTCACTTCTTATTTGCAACGGCACCCTTGGATTTGCAAAACTTTTACAAATAGGTCTATTACAATGAGAGCTTCTTCAAAGAGTATTGCCCTCACTTAAAATTTTAATTATTTTACTTATATAATAAGAATTCACTTATATAAATAGAGGCATCATTTTTTACTAACTTCTTTACAACCTACCTTGCCTGTAGATGAAGCACCACCATGACTTTTATTCTAAATGACTCTGCAAAAGCAATCAATCATCTAAAGAACATTATATTAGTCATGTATCAAAACTTTGTTACATTGATAAGTTTATTGCATTCAATGGCATGTTTGGTTTAATATTGAGAGATTGTACATTGAAATTTTACAACAGATCTATGATAACAGACTCATTTGTCACAATGATGAAGCTAATTGCATCCCTATAGAAAACAGGTCATATAGAGGCTATATATAGATTATGTATAGAAAATAAGCATAGTTTTTTCAAATGTGAAGATAATATAATCTAACTAGTAGATAATTTCTTTGGCAATTATGAATGGGCCAAAATAAGTATAAAGTAAGTTTAGTTTGGAAAACTTTCTCTTGAACTTGAGGAGTTTGTTGATTGTAAAAATAGTGAATTAAATCCAATTGAGTTCAATTATTCAATTTTTTTTGTAAATTCAAATGTCTTCATTGTAGAATTTTTGTATAGTTTTTGTATACAATGTCATATTGCCATTGGGTAGCTAAATCAATATATCCACTACATTATCATATTTCATATTTTATAGTGTTTTTAGAAGCTAAATATTTTTGTTTTATTTTATTTTATTTTATTTAATATTTATAAAATATAATAATTTATAGAAAAATCATCTGAATGCCTTATTAAGTAATCAAAGTCTAAAAAGAAAAAAAATTGTGTATTGAAGAAATACAATAAGCAAGACACAAATAAGTAGAAATCAGCAAGGTTAGACACAAGAGAAGTGAGAAATGAGATTCCTCTCACTTCCAACATCCTTTACTTATGGATAGAGATTACATCTATTTTGGCTAGTATTCATCTTACTTTCATCTAAATAAATCCTAGATTTCTCTTAACCTAGCCACCACCTTGGTACCTTTTTTTGATCTTTTTGTTGCCCTTTAACCATTAGTAACTTATCTAAGATAATATCTTTTACCTTCTAACTTATCCTCCATTTATTTTAACACTTACACTTTGTTATTGGTCAAAGGCTAATAAACCTAATCCCTTTGTCAATTTGTAATGTCTATCCTTCACCAATGCTTTTGTGAGTAAATCAGAAAGCATGACTTCCGTTGCACAATATTTCATGTCAATTACTCCCATTTCAATCTTCTCCCATATGAAGTGATGTTGAATGTCAATGTGCTTTGTCCTTGAATGATGCTTTGGATTCTTGGTAAAAGCAAGGCATCCTTGATTGTCACACTTTATTGGAGTTGCTTCCAATTGCACAAGTCCAATGTCTTCTAAAACTTGTCTTAGCCATATTACTTCCATTGCACTATGACTTGTTGCCATGTATTCCCCTTCTATTTTAGACCTTACAATTGTTGGTTGTCTCTTACAATTCCATGAAATTGCTCCCACTCCAACAAAGAATACATATCCCATTGTTGATCTTCTATTATTTGCATCTCCAGCCCAATCTGCATCACAATATCTATGCAATGTAATACTATCACCTCCAAGACACAATTTGAAGTTCAAAGTACCTTTTAAGTACCTCAAGATCTTCTTAATGGTTGCCTAATGAATTGGTCCAGCCTTTGACATGTGTTGACTCATAACACTCACCACATATGTAAGTTCCACCCTTGTACCAATCATTGTATATATAAGTGAGCCTACTGCTACCTTGTATGGAACATCTTTCTTTTTTTCTTCAACTTCAGAAAATTCCTCATCCGTGAGCTTCATCAACTTCAAATTTGCCTCCAAAGGTGTTCTAATGGACTTGCACTCCTCCATATTGAACCGTTTCAACACTTCTTTAATGTACTTCTTTTGGCTCAATGTAATGATCTTCTTAGCTCGATCTTTCACAAATTCCACTCCTAAGCAATACTGGAGCTCTCTCAAATCACTCATCTCAAATTCTTTTGCTAACTTTGCCTTCAACCAATCCATCTTTTTCAAAGTATTGCTCAAAATGATTAAATCATCAACATAAAGAATAATAATTATCAAGAAGGCTTTTGATTGCATCACATGCATGGAATGATCAGCCTCACTCCTCACAAATCCTTCATTCACAAAGAAGGTGTCGATACGTTGATACCATGCCCTTGATGATTGCTTAAGCCCATACAGAGATTTCTTCAAGTTACACACAAGGTATTGTTTGCCTTCTTCAACAAATCCTTGAGGTTGATCCATGTAGATGTCTTCTTCTAATTCTCCATTCAAGAAAGCCGTCTTCACATCCATTTGGTGCATCTCCAAGTCCA